CCCCCCCCCCAAAAAAATAAATAAATTTAAGTTTGTTTTTAAAAAATATTTTCAATTTCAAAAATTATTTTCTACTCTAGTAAAAATAAAAGATATTTCTCAAAAATAAAAATTATTCATAAATCAAACACTAAAAATCTTTTTCGGAAAATATTTTCTACTCACCAACCAAACATGAGAAAATAAGTCAAAAATCAACTTGTTTTCCAGGAAAACATTTTCTAGGAAAACATTTTCCTTCATACCAAACACACCCTATGAGTAAGTTGGGAGAAAATCTTTTTTCAATACCTAGAGGAAAGTGAAATTTTAGTTACTCTATGGTGAAGAAAATTGTGGGAAATCGAACAATTATACAATATTTGTCATATGTAACACATTGAGATTATTTAGTTACTATGTTCACAGAAGCAATAAGCATAAATGGACTTGAACAATTAGGCAACATTGAAGTACCTAAAACACCTAGCTATATCAAAGTTGTTATGTTGGAGTTTCACATTTAAATTTCTTGTTAGTGTCTATCCCAAAAAGAATCATGTTCTTCTACTATTCATATGAATTGAAAACCTTATAGAGGTGTTTGAGTGGTATTAGCTAAAGTAAAGGATTCAACTTAATATGTATGTACTTTGATTTAACTATTATAAAATGTTTACCCGTATTTAACTTTTAAATAATTTGGTTATGTAATATTCATATTGTCATTACACATAACTTAAATCATAAGTTAAAATCTGTGATATAACTAGTTTATTGTTCTCCACTTCATATCATTTGATGGAAACCCCACACCCAATATGAAATGTTGCCTTGTTGGATTAAAAAGGAGGGGTTCACTGAAAAGGAAAGATTTCATTGCTACGATTATCAGAGATTAGAGGTCAAAACTTTCTTTTGGTACCTCACCTTTTATTGGATTTCAAACATATAATTTTTTTTTACTCGCATTGAATGTAATTTGCATCAACAAGACAAATAATTCTTACACTCTCACTCATCTGCTCCAAGCTTATAATCAAAATGGATCATAATTATTAACTTTTGCTCATATTGTATATAATTTGAAAATTAGGTCACTTTTCCTAGTTTTCTTCTTCTACCCAACCGTCTCTTGATTGTTAGTTGACAAACTTGGTTAATAAGTATATTTGAAGCTCAAATAGTGGTTGTAGTATTGGTTTTAAGATTTGGGTAGTGAAAATCGTATTAAAAAAATAACCCATCGTTATTGAACAAACTTGAAAATATAGGTTTGAATTTGGTTTTTATGAGAATTTTTGAGTGACTACTATTTAGATTTATCGAAAATATCCAAAGGTGTTTGTCCACAAAATTTAAAGTCACTAGGTAGAGATTTGTGTTGATTTTGAACAAAAATTACAATAGAAAATTGTATAAAAATTAAAGTATGTTACAGTAACTAGCGGTGAATTATACTTTTATGTTGTATGTATCTTTAATGTCAATCTTTTGGATTGTGTATAACCTTACAGCTAGAGCCGTCAACCGTTGGGTCGGCCTGGCCTAGGCCGTGATTTGATAAGGCTGGGCTAAGATTTTTGGAGTCCATTTAAGAAAATTACTATTTAGCCCGGCCTGAAAAAGCCTGCTGATTTGTTGGGCTTGAGAAATATGAGTAGGCTCGATCCGTGCGTCAAATAAAAATAATTTTAAAACAAATAAAAAGATAGGGTATTAAAAATAACAAGAGTCCAATTTTTTTTTAAAGATTTAAATATTAAAATTTAAATACAAATTATGTGTCACGACCCGAGCCTACACCTTGGACGTGGCCTGCACTCGAAGACCATTGCTGGTCCCCAAGCGAACCCTCATCCTGGCTGACTACAAGCGGAAGACTAACTTAAGCATGCAAAAGCTTAAAAATTGAATAAAATTCATGAAACTGAAATACAAAACTTTAACTCAAATGAAAAACTCTGAATATAAAAATAATATTCAACTCACCATAAAATAGGCAACTTAAGTTCTTAAAACATTTAATAAAATGAATAATACAGACTTCTCAACTATATTGACTATTTATGAAGCCTCTAACTGATAAAGATGGAAGTCAGGACAAGACCCACGACATCCTGACTAAACTGAAAAGTAAATGAAATCCTCCGGAAACAAGGAGGCTCACCATAGCTAACTCGAACTCCCGGATGTATCAACAAATCTCCTGTTGATGATCCTGAATACCTGTGTCTGCATCATGAGAAGATGCAGGCCAAATGGCTCAGTACGGGGAATGTACGAGCATGTAAGAGGAATTCTAAAGCATAAACATAAGCTTGAAACTTGATAAAAAGGAAACATACTTACCTCTTCTCAACTCAAAGAAATATAGCTCAACTCAAAGAAACATAGCTCAACTCAATGATAAGATATTCAACTCAGAGGTATA